ACCGACCCCAGGAGTCCAATGTTGAGGAATGGCCTCCGTCGCCGTTCTGGCCATGCCCTCTGACGCATTAAATGTATACCTTTCATAGATTTTATTTGACACTGCCATGTGGGTTTCTTGGCACATGAGGATGACTAAATGTCAGTGTGAAATAAGGTTCCCCAGCTAAAAGAATGCTTGACTACCTTTATCAGTTTACAACCTTAGAAGTAGTTTTATATTGTTTGCTATTTTCATAGTCATAAAGACCACAGGCCACTATTAGGGATGAGGTTTGGGTTCGCCACTACCATGAATTTGAGGCATATTCTGCATGTTTAAGGTCTGTAGTGAATTCCCGGTGAATTAATGCAGGGATTCAGCAGACCAAAATTCTTTGTAGCCATAATGTAGCTTTCACCGATGGTCAGTAACATTACAATGGGCAATAATGGAGACTTTGCTATGGGCCAGCCCCGTCACTGTAAAAGGCTGGGTTCCCAGCAGTTATTTGTCAGTTAGTGTAGTTTAGTGAGAGTTAGTTGCTATACTGTACTATATTGCACCTAAAGCGATTGTAAACCTAGTAACATAGAAAAGTGAAGGCAGAAAAAAGGCCAAGTGGTCTATCGAGTCTGCTTTTTTTTTTTTCTTTATAATTTATAAGTTTTTGAATTTTTTTGTTAACTGTTTTGTCTGAGTATAGATCTAGGTTTGTCCCAAGAATGTTTGAATCCACTTCCAAGTCTGTTCCAAGCATCAACTACTCTTTCGGGAAAAATACTACTTTCTAAGATTAGTTTTGAACTTTCCTCCATAAAAATACTGCCCTAAGGCATTGATTCGGATAACATCTGAAATGTAGAAAAGACTACTTGTAAGTTTGGCATTAGGCCTGTATCACATGGGCTTCAGTTTGTATAAGAGCAGTGTGAACAGTCAGCTTTTATGAAGCTTTCAGCAAGCTTCGTGCAACTTTCTCTTAACCTTTAAAGTGCCCTTCAAATCCTGTTTGGAAATGTTATACACAGATCCTAATAGGAGTGCTGATTTTCACTTTGCCTACTGGCCACTTATACCCCCTTCCTGCCCATGCCAATTTTCAGCTTTCAGCGCTGTTGCACTTTTGACAATTGCGCGGTCATGCAACACTGTATCCATATGAAATTTTATCATTTTTTTCACACAAATAGAGTTTTCTTTTGGTGGTATTTAATCACCACCAGGTGTTTTATTTTTTTTTGCACTATAAACAAAAAAAGAGCAAAATATTTGAAAAAAAAAAAGTTTCTCTTTGTTTCCATTATTAAATTTTGCAAACAGGTAATTTTTCTTCTTCACTGATGTGCGTTGATGAGGCTGCACTGATGAGGTGGCATGGATAGGCAGCACGAATGCTGCTGCACTGATATGCAACAATGATGGGCACTGATGGACACAGGTGGGTGCCCTGATGATCAGTGTCGATCCCTCCTCTGACAATTGCCAGTTATCGGCAGTACTTACCTCATGCTGTGACAGCGTGAGGAAAGTGCAGCCAATAGCCGGCAACTGCATTTACCGGTGATCTGCTATGTCATTGGACACAGCTGATCACATGGTAAAAAGCTGCTGTGATTGGCCTTTTACCACATCACGTGATCAGCTCTGTCCGTAGGACACAGCAATCATGGCGATCGCCGGGGGCATGTGGGAGGGCGCGTTCTGGGCGGACGTCATATGACGCCCTCCCAGGACTGGACAAATGCTCTGTAGCTGTTTATTCGGCTATAGCACGGTTGGCAAGTGGTTAAACAAGCTGCAATCAGCACTCCCATTGAGATCTGTGGTCCACATTTACAAACTGGAGCCGAATGGTGCTTTAAAAGATTCAATATAGCTTGCTGAAAGCTCTGCAAATGCATTGTAAAAGCTTGCTGTTCACACTGCTCTTATAAAAGCTGATGCCAATGTGAAACAGGCCTTATAGTTGCACAAAGATGCATATTAGTGACCCTTATCTGCAGACATTGGCAAAAAAAAAAAAAAAAAGGACCTTTTGCTATGGGAGGAGTTGCTGTATATAGGAGAAAACTTCCTGTATTTTGCTAGTGTCCATTCACCTGTAAGTGACACATAATCCTATTTGCGGAGAATATACTTTTAAAAAATGAATATGGAGCATACTGAGATATATGAGTGCTGACACTATGTTCTTAGTGAGCATAGTTGGCTGCTCAATCTCTCATGAGTACTGGTGGGCATTTAAATCTACACAAAAAATGGCAAATGACAGATATGATATGAAAATATAATACAGTTATGTTATGGAAATTATTGCATATAGCCTCACAATTGATCTTGCTGTAAAAATAGAATATTGAAAGTGGTTGCAAAGGCTCAAGGTTTTATTCATTCTATGCAAAGGTAAAAACCTGTGAGCAGCAGTTACCCCAGCCCCTACTAAAACTTAACTGAGCCCCTTCTCGATCCAGAGATGTGCACGAGAACCTTGGCTCTCTCCCTCTTCACTGGCTAAGGCAGTAGCGGCAGCCATTGGCTCCCACCACGGACAATCTCAGCCAGTGAGCCAATGAGGAGACAACAGGGGCAGGGCTGAGCGGCATTTCGTATGTGAATAGACACATAGAGCAGTGTCTCGGGAGCGAGCCTGCTCAGGTGCCCCCATGGCAAACTGCTTGCTATGGGGGCACTACTGTAGGCAGGAGAGAGGGGGCCTGGAGCGCCAGCAGGGTACCTGAGAATAGAAGGATTGGAACTGCTCTGTGCAAAACCATTAGGGATCGTTTACACTTGCTTTGACTTCAACACACATTAACGTGCCTACTGCTTCAACATGCTTTTTTTATGTGTTTTTCATGCTTCTACAATGCTTCGATGATGCTTCGGAGGTGCTTTTTTTTAAGCTTTAACAACTTGCCCTCCAGAGGATTTACCCCTCTTTTTTGACTGATACGGTGTTGCATTACTTTAACTGACAATTGCGCAGTCATGCAATGCTGTACATAAATGAAATCTGCTAAAGAAATGGAGCGTTCTTTCTGTGGTATTTGATCACCTCTTTTTTTTTTATTTTTTGCACCATAAACAAAAAAAGACCAACAATTTTGAAAAAAACAATATTTTTGACTTTTTGCTATAAAACATATCCAATAAAGAAATTTAAAAAATCTAATTTCTTCATAAATTTTTGGCCAAAATGTAGTCTGCTACATGTCTTTGCTAAAAGAAATTCCAATAGGTGTAAATTAATTGGTTTACGTATACAAATGGCGGTATATATACTGGAATTTAAATTTTTTTTCTACTAGTAATGGCGGTGATTACTCGCCGGTGCCCAGTGATTGCCGAGGATATCTGACAGGGAGAGAACTGTTAGTAAACAAAAAAAACAGTTCTCCTCCCTGTCAGCTCTGGCACACTGATTTGTATGGCTGTGCACAGCACAGCCAATCAAAGCAGTGTGCTTACAGTGAAGCACACACACAGAACATAATGTAAAACGATACACAGCACACAGTTAACCCCTTCCTGCCCAGTGCCATTAGTACAGTGTCAGTGCTTTTTATTCGCACTGATTATTGTATTGGTGTCATTGGGAATGTCAGTGACACCAAGTCAGTTCTCCCCAGTGTCAGAATGCCCGCCGTAGTCCCACTATAAGTCGCTGATCGCCTCTATTACTAGTAAAAATAAATTTTAAAAAAAAAGCCCAGTATCTATACCGCCATTTGTAAACGCTATAACATTCACGTAAACCAATTAATTTACACGTATTGGTATTTTTTTTTAGCAAAGACATATAGCAGAATACATTTTGGCCTAATATTATGACAAAATTTGATTTTTTAGATTTTTTTTGGACATATTTAATAGCATAAAGGCAAAAATATTGGGGTCTTTTTTTGTTTATAGCGCAAAAAATAAAAATTGCACATGTGATCAAATACCACTGAAAGAAAGCTCTATTTGTGAAAAAAAAAGGACATAAATTTCATTTATGTAAAACGCTGCATGATAGTTTTTTTGTCAAAATTATCGGTCTTTTTTTCTTATAGCACAAAAAATAAAAAATGCACAGGCGATCAAATACCACCGAAAGAAAGCTCTATTCGTGGTAAAAAAGACGTAAATTTCATTTGGGTACAGCATTGCATGACTGCGCAATTGTCAGTTAAAGTAACGCAGCGCCGTAACGCAAAAAATGACCTGGTCAGGAAGGGGGGTAAATCCTCTGGAGGGCAAGTGGTTAATATCACTTTAAAGAGCTAATGTGATGGTTAGCAAGAGAACCTGACGTTTTGCCCTAAATAGGCAAAAAGATAGTTTCTCTCTGATAAAAGCATATGAATCTGGAGTATAAATACTGAGGTCACAACATTGTCAGCAAAAACAGTGTTTATTGTAGTTCATCAGATAACATCTATACAGACTAATATATAAAAAATATAGCCTTTCCTATGTACCATTACATATTTACAACTAATCATTGTTAATTCAAATGACATTAGCTAAGAATGCTAATAACAATGATCTATATATTGCTTCATCAAGCTGATATTGATTGGTAAAGATGGGTTTTATTTACAGCACAATGTACACATAAGCTGTATGAGACCTCTGAGGAGGCTGTAAACTAGGTGTTCCTTTCAAATTGTACATCGCATAAAGAGGGAGCTGTAAGAAGCAACCAATTCAATGCTCCCATGCAATTGACACAATTGCTATTGAAACTCTTAGTGACTGTGCCTCAAACATTCAGCCAGGCTGGAATCCTATGCTTTGTGTTGTTGATTAGCTATAATTGCATATACAAGTCAAGAGATGGTATGCTAAGCTTTCAACAGATCAGATCCCATGGTGAGGACATATTAAAATCCCTGAAAGGCATAACGCAAAAAAAAAACAAACACAACAACAAAAGAGTGATACTAAAGAAACACAATCTATCCTATACAATAAATACTGTACATAGTTGCTATAATTCACAGTACTCGAGCAATTCATAAAGTTGATGCTTCTTATGCAGTATCAAAGAATGTCATCAAAGCGTTCTGGTCATAATTATCCAAAATCTCCAGCAAGAGAGGCACTTTAGTTTTCACATTTGTGCCTTTGAATTTGAACTTATCAATGAAGAGATCTGTTATCATTCCTACAAAACAAAAAAAGTAAATGTTAAAAATCTTTCAGTTGGCTATTTGTAACAAAAGGAGCTGCCTAGCAATATTTTCTACATTTATTAGGGGCTCGATAATAATTTATTTAAGTGATAAATACACCAAAATCTAACAGGGCATGTAAAGTCCAAGGTTCCGTTGCAAGAAACCAGAGAAGACATCCAAGGAGACTAAAAAAGAGGGCTAGACAGTTACTAAAGCACAGTGTAACAAAAGCTGGCCATAAACTAATAGATTTTTGTACGAAAAAAAAAAAAAATGTACAAAAATTTTCAGTACATTTGGTGACTTATGTTGATCAAAAGTACATCAAAATTGTATTTGCTTTCAACATTCAAATTTGGAATGAATGGACTTTCCCGAATGAACCGCAATCATTGTTAGAAATGTGTTATTTCGAGAAAAAAATTTCATCTTTGATTTTCTCATCACTGTGGTAAAAAAAACAAATGTTGATTTGATCCTGCTAATGATTAGAAAATAAAATGAATGGGTTGGGGGACATAGTAGACAGGGGGAAGCTATGCACGTTTCAAGAGTTAAAGAGCAAAAAAGGATTTATTTTTTACATTAGATGAATTTAGATATTACCAATTAGGATATTTTGTCTCAATGCTCCCCCAACCACTGAGGATGCCAGAGGACATGCTTCCATTTGAAACAATTTTGAGTTCTAGCATAGTACATAAACATGTAACCTCTAGGATATATAAGATCCTTACTGAATGGATGGGATCTGAACCTCCGTTATTCTTAGAGAAATGGAAAAGAGAATTGGGTACAAAAATGAATGAGCAACAGGAGAATAAAATGTTTAAGTCGATGCACGGGGTGGTGAATATGAACACAGTAGAAATGAATTATAAATGTTTAACTAGATGGTATTTTACACCGAGTGTGGCAGATAAACAAAGAGAAGAAATTTTCACCACTATGTTGGAGGGGATGTGGGGTCAGGGGGACAATGGCTCACATATGGTGGGAGTGTTCAAAAATACAGGGGTTTTAGCAAAAAATAATTCAATATATACAGGAGATCTTGGGGAAAACTATTCAAAAGGACCCGTGGGTGTGCCTATTCTATAAGTCAGATGTCAGTGAAATAATATAAAAATAGTATATTATACCATCTAATCAGCGCTGCAAAAGGTTTAATCCCCAAATTTTAGCAGGCACAGAACCCCCCAACAATGAGGGACTGGATAGATAAGATCAAGCATATAAATAAGATGGAAAAGCTATACCATATAGAGGCAGACAGAATGGAAACATTTAGAAAGGACTGGAGTAAGTGGTATGATTTTAAGACATCTGAAAAATACCTTGAAGTGATGGGTACCTCGGTAGTAGAGTTGGAGAATTAAACTGATTAAATGGACAGTCGAAAAGTGAAGAGAGAATATAGGGTTTAGACTTAGATGGATAAACAGGGTAGGAAGGAAATGGAAAGAATTACTTGGACAGGGGTAATTTATTGGTGAGGGAGGGATAAGGGGGGGGGGGGGTGGAAATAGGGGTAAAGAAGTTATCTGGATTGTAATGTGTTTTTATAAATTATATAGTGAAGCGCTTATATCACATAAATACAGTAAAGTGCATTAAAAAAATAAAAATGAATATAAATATAATTCTAATAATCCTGTGTAACAACTCTATGTAATAGATGTTAATGCCTCCCTCTGGTGGAAGAAAAAAATAATGCAACCAAATATAATTAAACTATAATAATATAGCACACACTTTAAGAACCTATTATAATGTGCATATATCAAAATTCATAACGAAATGTGAATATAAGTGAAACAAATTAATTAACCACAGGAAATAGTGCCTAATTCATACACATGACATATACATCATAAGTGAAACAAAAAAATGTCCATGCATGTGACTGTGCTTTTAGAAAACACACGTGATCTCCACTTCTAGGTGCAAATTTCTCCTCCAAATGGCAGCAATGCCTGCTCACCTCCCCTCCTTGACCCACACAGGGCCCAAAAGCAGTTACCACCTCAATGGTGTATCTCCTCTGGCAGACTCCTTATTCCTCCTCCTCTCTTATTCAACTCATAAAAGACAAGAAAACTTTCCATAGTGTAGTATATTTAATTAGGAAAAAGGTAAAACTACAAAACGTTCCACTCACATGGTCCTCTTCATCAGTAAGCGTTTTTACCACAGCCTATGGGTAAATCTGCATGCACTTGGGGGAATCCAATATGCCGCGGCGTCCGGACATGCGTCACCAGGAAATGACGAACCGACGCGTTGCGTCACGTGCGTCGTGACTTCATCAGGGTTGATGAAGTCACGACGCACGTGACGCAACGCGTCGGTTCGTCATTTCCTGGTGACGCATGTCCGGACGCCGCGGCCATATTGGATTTCCCCAAGTGCATGCAGATTTACCCATAGGCTGTGGTAAAACGCTTACTGATGAAGAGGACCATGTGAGTGGAACTTTTTGTAGTTTTACCTTTTTCCTAATTAAATATACTACACTATGGAAAGTTTTCTTGTCTTTCTATGAGTTGAATAAGAGAGGAGGAGGAATAAGGAGTCTGCCAGAGGAGATACACCATTGAGGTGGTAACTGCTTTTGGGCCCTGTGTGGGTCAAGGAGGGGAGGTGAGCAGGCATTGCTGCCATTTGGAGGAGAGTATTTGCACCTAGAAGTGGAGATCACGTGTGTTTTCTAAAAGCACAGTCACATGCATGGACATTTTTTTTTGTTTCACTTATGATGTATATGTCATGTGTATGAATTAGGCACTATTTCATGTGGTTAATTAATTTGTTTCACTTATATATTCACATTTCGTTATGAATTTTGATATATGCACATTATAATAGGTTCTTAAAGTGTGTGCTATATTATTATAGTTTAATTATATTTGGTTGCATTATTTTTTTCTCCCACCAGAGGGAGGCATTAACATCTATTACATAGAGTTGTTACACAGGATTATTAGAATTATATTTATATTAATTCATTTTTATTTTTTAATGCACTTTACTGTATTTATGTGATATAAGCACTTCACTATTTTTTCTTTTTGTTTGCACTTATTGGTATTAGTCAAGTGATAGCAGCTGTATTATAATAATCATTCCATTGAGCGCAGGAGGATTCCTTATATTTTGATAAATTATATATTGTTGATCTATGTACTGAAATAAAACTTAATAAAAGATATTAATAAAAAAAAAAAGAAAAGAAAATCCCATGTCCAGTCATCTGTGCTCCCTATTCTTCTCTGTACCTGACACAGGGGAGCTGGATCACACGACTGGACTTGAAAGGGCTGATAATTGTAAGTATATACATCTTTTTTACATAGATTAGTCAGCATAGGTGTTAGGAGGGGAGATTTTTAAGATTAGTTAGGTTTAGGGCCAGTTAACACCTCATAAACGCAGTCGGGGGGGATGTGTTCTGGATGAGTTTCTGCATGTGTGCTTTCCCCCCTCTTTTTTCTTCAATAGGGGCATCTGCATTATTTATGTATTTTGCCACGTTCCAGTACAGTTCTGGGCAAAATAAATGCTGCATATTCTACCTTTTTTCTCTCTCCCAGGACTGGAACTTACTGCACTGGTGTGAACTATGCCACTGGAACCCATATAACCTACTGTCCATGCGCTTTTGATGCAGAACAAAAAAAACCACACTGGACTGCATCTGGTGTGAATCGGCCCTCACTCCTGGTTCACATATCTGCGGCCATGTGGGCCGTATTTTGCGTGGGCAAGAGAGCCCATTAATTTGAATGAACTCCTGTGCCCCGGGACACGCAGGGAAGTCCCTGAACTTCTTTGGAAACTGCAGCTCACATGGGAATGAGGTTCCCAATATGGTTGTGATTTCCAGTGCATGGGTGTGCCATTAGAAGTAATGGCACCTGCCCGCGGGTCCCGCATTGCTCTGTTGGGTGGTGCGGCTGCAGGTATTTTTGTGCAGATGGCTGCAGCCGCACCACCCGCACATATGTGAACCTAGCATGAGACAGGAATTTTACTTTAAGCCTTCCTGGTGACTGCAGTCGTATCTCTGACAAATCAGGAGGCAAGTCAGACCACAATAGAGTGACTGCTGCTTCCAAATAGAGAGCAGCAGTCTTATCTACAGCCCACTGCCCAAGGGGGGTGATTTTATAATGGCTATGGTGCCAATAAAAGCCTAAGAAATGTAACATGTTTAAAAAAGCTGTGCATTCTACACAACAATTTATCTACTTATGCAGTTTTTACAGAAAGAAGAGTTAGCAATTACTATGCTTTATTCAGCTACATTTTACAAAGCGCATAAAAATGACAACATGGGAACAACTGTTAACCACTTGACCTGCGGAAGGTTTTACTCTCTTCATGATGAGGGCATTTTTTGCAATTCACCACTGTGCTACTTTAACTGGCAATTGCTTGGTCATGCAACACTGTACCCAAATGAAGTTTATAGAATTTTTTTTTCGCACAAATAGAGCTTTCTTTTGGTGATATTTGATCACCACTGAGATATTTATTTAAAAAAAACGAAAAAAGACAAACTTTTGAAAAAAGAAAAAGATATTTTCTACTTTCTGTTATAAAACATATCCAATAAAATCAAATTTCTGCATAAAGTTAGGCCAAAATGAATTTTGCTACATGTCTTTAGTTAAAAAAAAAAATCCCAATAAGTGTATAATTGGTTTGTGTGAACGTTATAGCATATACAAACTAATTATCTATCTATCTATCTATATATATATCCACACACACACACATAATACTGGAATTTACGCAGCTATAGATGCTATACTTGTAATGGCAGTGATCAGCATCTTATAGTGTGACGGTGATAGTGTGATGGGCAAACTGGCACCAACAGACATTGGCTGGGAAGGACATTGACTGATACTGACGTGGCTAGTGACACTAATACAGTGATTATAGTATACACTGTAGTAATGACACTGGCTGGAAAAAAGTTATC